GCTCTTTCCATTTTCCTCTTATTTCCTCTAGATCTTCAGGGCAAACCAGCTCAGTCCTGCCAGCATGAAACCTGCTCAGCTCCTCCTCCTCCTGCTTTTCCAGTCTCAAGGTGAGTGGGTCACAAGCTCCTCCCCTGTAGCCTGACCTTCCAAGGGGCAGAGGGCCCAAGTGGGCACTGCCCAGAGGGCCTTTTCTGGAACTGAGAGCCCCTTGTCAGAGAGATTGGGAGACCAGGCAGGAAAAAAAAAGTTGAATGACTCAAGGACGTAAGACAGAAAGATCGATCAGAGTGTGAAGGAGAGAAAGGAGGAGGAGGAAACGAATAGGGGGTACATAGAATTGTTGTGGGTACACTGGGAATGTCAGAGTTGAAAGCAACCTGGAAGGCTTTATATCTCATCTCTATTGTTTTATAAAAGAAGTGTCAAGGCCTGGAGGAATCTCCAGGCTTCTCCAAAACTGCACGGGAAGAGGCAGGATCCGGACTGTCATCTAGAGGTCTTAGACCATGCACTACCGAGCCACCAGAACAGCAGTGATATTGAAACCCCAGCTGTGACCTGGCGGAGCATTTCATAAAATAGGAAGTCAGGAGAGTCAGACTTTAGGGATAAGGAAAAAGAGGGGGTTGGCAGGGCGAGATGGGCCCTGACTTTCCCTGCAGTCTCCCTTCTAATCTTCCAGGGCCAACAGCCCTCGGCAGGAACTCAGCCCTTGGGATGGAGAGCCTGATCCCAGCTTTGTCCACTTCCAGCTCTAGCCATAGCACCACTGCTGTGTCCCACACTCTCTGGGGCCCCTAGCTGGGAGAGCTGTGAATGACTGGGAGACTTAAGGGAAAGGGAGGGTATCAGGGCCAGTTTTTATGGTCATTTCTTTCTGTGTTCACAGTTTCACAAACCAGCTCAACCCCACAAATTGTGAATGGGGCTCTGGGGGAGTCAGTAGTGCTTCCCCTGCAGTTTTCTGCAGAGAAGAGGATTATCTCTATCGTCTGGCTTCACAACGGAATGTCTATCGCCTTCACACAGTTAGAAGGACAAAGTTCACTGACATATATAACTGATCCAAAATGGAAAAATCGATTGAGTGTCACTAACTCCCACTCCTTGCAAATCAGCAACCTGACAATGGCAGATGCAGGATCTTACAGCACCCACATAACCACAATGACCTCTTCAGTGGTGTCCACTTATGATCTGAGGATCTTCAGTGAGTACAGGCATAGAGGACCAGCTCTCAACCGGCCACGGTGAATAGGGTCATCCTGTAAGCCGGCGGGTGGGGGCTAGATGACCCTTGGTAAAGACTGTCCCTTGGTTTCACTCTTTTGGCCGGTCCAGAACCTCTCCAAGGTAGATCTTTTTCTTTCCTTTTCTAATTCTTTTTTTGTCCTCTTCAGTTACCAGCAGATTCTGGCTGATGGCTGTGGTTGTGGCAGGTTGAAAAACATCACACAACTTGCTGCTTAGGGGCTGGGGAATGGAAGGGTCAGGAATCCTTTTATCTAAAGGGGTGTGGATTCCTTGCTCTGTTCTCTCTCCTTTATTCCCTGAGTCCTCTCCTCCTGGGATGTCCTATAAGGCCCCTTATTGCTCTTTGTATCTTTTAAAACTATTGCTTCAAACAGAGAGACTGCCAAGGCCTCAAGTTCAAGTGGATTCCCTCTCCTGTGAGCACAGCACCTGTACTGTCACCTTGAGGTGTTCCGTGGAGGAAGGAGGAGAGAACATCATATATGAGTGGACAAAAACAGGACCAAGGACTGTTCTGACCCAGGAAGGATCAGTCCTCAGTGACTCCTGAGGAACTACACCTGCACAGCTACGAACCCTGTTAGCAACAGCACGTCCAGCCTCAACCTTGTTCAGCAGCTTTGTGCAGGTAACTGGTCCCTTCAAGCCTTTCTAGGACTCCTGGGGAATACTTTGAGAATCATTAGAAGGGCCTGGAGAGGATAGATGGTCAGCTCTCGGCACCTGCCAACAACACCCCTTCCACGTATGCACACCTGCTCTGTTCTCACTCACTCTGCTTTCTCTCCTTCAGGTTCCAAGGCAGCTACAGGCGCTTTCTCCCCAGTGACATGGATTCTCCTCGGAAAGGGGCTTCTCCTTGTATCCTGGGGGTTCTAGGAACTTGGCACTTCCAGACACAGGTACTCAGTAGACCTCTCAAGTCAATTCAGGGCAATAAAAGCACTAGTGCCCCAGAATAGTCAGGCTGTGTCCTGGATGAGGCCATCACTCCTCCATAGCTCAGTTAAGTCCCATTTACTGACATGTATACCTTTCAAGGTGCACTGCTATATATTTTCAAAGGCCAGTTTCATATCCTGGCATGTGTGAGCCCAAATGCACACACATTGCATGAGAATGAGGAAGTTTTAGCAAGAAAAGATAAAATAACTGCATGAAAACCATGTTTTCTAGTCTAAGAAGTATTTTCCTCCATAATTTAAGCTTTCTGAAATCAAGATGAATCATAATGTTGGTGTGTGTGGCTAAAAGAGATAATGTACTTTTCTCTTAAAAGGCTTTTTATTAAAATGATCCTGCTTTTAAAAATCCATAAGGTCTTAGAATTCTTGAAATACTGTAGCTATAATACAAAGGCAGGGCTTCCATGTAGATTAATATCCAGATTTGAGGACCGAAATTTCTGAAGTATGGAGCATTTTAAGGAACGCACTTCAAGGAATGCTGATGGTTAGAGATGAGAGAACAGGGGGAGTCAGGGCCACAATAGCCCATTAGAGGGAAATTGTAATCA